CCCCCCCCGGGCTGACTGCAGAGCCGCTCTCCCTCCTTGCACAGGGCAATCTGCCATTTTAGGTGGAGTTTGCTGGGTGGGTAAAGAATCTTGTTAAATACGAGAAAAGTCAGCTTACCTGGTGCACAAATTCTCACCAATTCCCTGGGATCTTTCACAGGGCTGCCCAGTCCCACCCAGAGCAGCTAATTCAGAAAATCAGGGGGAAGCCCAGGCATTGCACTTTAAAAGCCACCAGATTTACCACCCTGCCCCAGGGTTGAGGATTACTACCCTAGGTAACCTAAGCGACCCCTTTCCTTTTAAAATGTAGTTGATTATATACTGAACATTTCTGAACTTGTAGACTAAAAGTTATGCTTTACAGCCTGAGAATATATATAAACATCAGCAAACGAAATGCATTCTAAGATGGTATCTGCAAGACTTTCTTTGGATTTTAGCTTTCCAATAATTTATTTTATATGTTTATAGNCCTGAAAATATATATAAACATCAGCAAACGAAATGCATTCTAAGATGGTATCTGCAAGACTTTCTTTGGATTTTAGCTTTCCAGTAATTTATTTTATATGTTTATAGATTTCTAAGTGATTGAACAATGTGGCGTTTTATCCACAGACATGAATAAATCCGTTTTACCAAACATGTTTCCAAAGATGACGGTAAAGATGTAAAGACAGGTCCCAAGAGAGTTTGCATCTGTTGTTAGTTGGCTTAGATCAGGGGTGGGGAACCTTTTCTCTGCCAAGGGCCATTTGGACATTTATAACATCATTTGGGGGCCATACAAAATTATCAACTTAAAAATCAGCTATGAACAAAGCTCCTAGATTTATTGAATTTCAAGTCCCGCCTGCGGCTGCCTTGGCAGGGCCAGACCAAACGGTTTCTCGGGCTGTATATGGCCTGCGGGCTGGATGTTCCCCACCCCGGCTTAGATCATTGCAGATGAATGTGTAGGGTGAGCCAGGGAACTTATCAAGAGAAGAGAAAACAATTCCACGTAAGGGAAGGGTCGCCAGATATGAACAAACATCTGTGTAATGAAAAAAGGAAAGACACTGAAGNAAGGGTCGCCAGATATGAACAAACATCTGTGTAATGAAAAAAGGAAAGACGCTGAAAACTTTCCCGGATGAGAAATTCCTCTCTGCTGGGATCTGAGAGACATCACCAGCCAGCAACGACCTAATAAAATGCTGCCTACCGTTCAGAACAGCAGGGCTTTCCTCGCGAACTCCCAGGCCTGCCCAGGGCCTTAAGAGAAAGACTTAAATCTCTGAACTGCGCTGCGCGTTGTTTGCGTGATCCGTTCCCCTGTGCCCGTTTGGAAGGGGCCTTCCTCGCTGGTTGTCTGTGAGGAAGACTGGGGCAGGTGGTGTGGACCAGGCAGCACCAGCCCGAAGGACTGCGAGGGGCAGGGATGCGGATCATAGCGAGTAAATGGATGTTCCACGGAGCTTCCTGCTGCCTGGCTGCCTCCCAGCGTAGTTTTATCAGCCCTTTTATAATTCCTAAAGCTTTAAAGATGAAAATGCACCTCCCAAGGGAAGTTCTAGTTTTGCTTGCAGCTGGCACAGAAAAGCTAGATAGTTTACAGGGGGCCCCAGAACCCAGCAAACGCCTCTTCTAAACAAGCCTTTCCCCAAACCTGGAAGAGCTGAGGGCTTGATCAGAGGTGACAGTAAATCAAGGATCAGAGTGATAACATGGGCCAAGGTGCCTCTCTCTCAGCGTGAGCTCCTGCACGTTCCTCCTTGGGACTTCACAGTAATACTTAGCACTTAGAATAACTTCTCAGGGACTCCTTATCCCCAGGACGTTTAGAAACATTAATTAAAATTTAATTAGTTTCAACTTCAGTAATAGAAAAATATATCTAATTACAACTGGCTTCCTGAGCCTCTCAGAAGGACAAACCACTCAACGCAGGTGCAGCCGTTTTATCAGATCTCTGGCCACACTCAGACTTCTTTCCTCTGCCCCGCAAACACACACACACACAGCGCCCATGATACAGAGAAAAGTGATTATTTCTTGCTCCATTTTCCCCTCCCTCCAAGTCATCTTCCTTAAAACTGATCATACTCTAGCCCAGAGCTAAAGTGATGGCCTGCCCCGTGCAGGACCTGGATCTGGTTCTCTGTCTGCAGCTCTCAGCAGGCCTCAGCACAGCAGGTGCTCAACAACTGCTTATGGAAAGAGTCAAACGAGATGACCTTCTGTCTCACATCCAAGCCACAGCCTAAGGGAAGAGACCTTCTGGTCTTTGTCAACACAGACCTCGAGATCCCAGGGCTTCCCTCCGCAGTCCAGCCTGGTGCTGGTGGGGGCTAGCTCTCCATGGAGGGTCCCCTAGTGCTCAGGTTGGCTCACGGCCTTACTGATGCATCAACGCTGGTCAGCAGGATGCCTGGGCGGGACCTGCTGCAAATCAGCCCGCAGCCATCCCCAGTCTGTGGAAAGCGTGGGACTGCCCATCATGAACCTCCTGCCCGGAGAGAGGCAGGATGGGGCTCTGCTTTTGGTCTTTCTGTTAAGAGTCCATGGAACCTCCAAGGTCCCTCTTTGCTCCTGAACCTTTCAGCATAGCCTCTAAATTCAGAGACCTTGAAAGAAATTTCCCTTCAGGTGGCATTCTTGGGATTCCAAAAATAAGATAGTCCAAGGTTGCCCAGGGAATTAGCATGACTTGGCTTTCCTGGCGCAGGCATTTATTGGCTTCCAGGTCTGCCTGACGACACGGGTGAGCTCCACATCAGTCATAACAAGGAAATAAGGGTGCCTGTGGGGGCAGGGAGAGCTCAGGGGGTGTGAGAACGTGTTTCCCGTCAGGTGGGAAAGAGAGCGGGAGGAGTGGGCTGGTGACAGTGAGCTGGGCTGGAGCGAGGAGCGGGGCGGGGGGATGAACCGATGAACCGATGCCCTTCTGCTCAGGCGGTTCCGTCATCAGGCCCAGACCATGAGGTGTTCTGAGCAGAGATGCCTGCTTATGATAAATGACACACGACTCGCAACAGCCATAGGAAATACACAATAGTGCACCAGGAGAGTGACAAATAACTTTCTCGGCACTTCTTGGAGCAAACGGAAAACAAAGCAGATAGGTTCTGGGAAGGCGTGTACCCACNAAACGGAAGACAAAGCAAATAGGTTCTGGGAAGGCGTGAACCCATCCCCGAGGAAAAATCAGTTGTGCTACGCATCCAAGAGACTTGGCCCGGGGTGTTGGAACGCTGAGGGGGTCCTGCTCTGCACACACGTGAGGAGTCACCTCCCACTGCGTAAGCTCAGGCTCCTGGCTCCTGCCTTCCTCTGCCCGCCAGGGTGTGGGTTCGGGGGGAGCAGCACGGTCCTGCCTACCCTGGGGGCCAGTGCATGGTTTCCCTTCCTTTCTGCACCGCAGTGAGCACACGGAAGAGCTAAGTTGGAAAGAAGCCGAGAGCCACACCCGAAACCTGGGGGTTGCAATTTGCCGGATTGAAACACATACTCTCATGGGAAAATATGCCTTAAATTTCTTTTCCCCGGCACTCATTAATGAAAATGAGTAGTTTTGGGGGCCAGGAGATTGTAACGGCAGACNCACACCCGAAACCTGGGGGTTGCAATTTGCCGGATTGAAACACATACTCTCATGGGAAAATATGCCTTAAATTTCTTTTCCCCGGCACTCATTAATGAAAATGAGTAGTTTGGGGGGCCAGGAGATTGTAACAGCAGATGGTGGGCGTGGACAGGGCGCAATGATGTATATGTTTAGGAAAGTGAACTTCCTTAGGCCACTGTCCCCGAGCCCCATGTGGGTATCTTGTGCTCACTGTTACCACAATTATCGGACAACCCAGAGCAAAACTCCCCGTTGCCGGGCTGAAGCCGGCGTTAAGGTGGTTGATAACTGCACGACCCTTCCTTCCTGTTCCTGGGCAGGACATCACCGGGTCCAACTTGTTTTCTAGCTTATCTTAATTCCTCTGCATCTAGCCGGGCGGCACTGACCGCTGCGGGGGCAGGTGTGGCGCTCGCTGGTCAGGGCGGCGGGGACTCTGACTTGGACTTGCGGGCTGTGGGGCCCGCAGCAGAGATCAGACCAGCTGCCTTCCGGGGCGG